TTTGTTGGTAAACAGCAGAGTTTTCCTTTTTAGCCTGCAAAATGTGCCCGCATAACCATGTCATCGATAATAGTGGATAGTTGAACTCACCTAGCTGACGCACACGACTGTCTTGCTGCTAGGGGTCCACGATATCTTAACAACCGGCCACATAGCGGACAGTAGAATGCCCCTAGCTGGAGCACAAGAACAGCATGCCTTATCAACTAGCTACATGGCCAACTATCCACACATGGTTAACAAAAAAACAACAGTAGGCATTTTGCATGCGAGTCATATGCTGGAACATGTGCCGACCGTTCACAGAATGTCTGTGACCAAAATACATGGATGTTATATGATATGTACCTGCTTTCTGATAGAATTAGCGCAACATTACGCCACAGCCGAAAACTACTCGCTTCCCGCATTTGTGCCACCAAATTGTTCATGAAAAGTCTTGACTCGATAGTGTTCATCTATGTTTCTTCTGAAGCAGCATAAAAGTTTGCCCATTCGGCTGACTTTTTGCTTTCCACGAAAGCGTACAGAGCCGGATGCCCAATATACATGCCATCCGTGATCAGGATCCGTCAGCATCTGCTACATATGGGAAGCATCGAAACAGCGCTATCTTTCGCCATCTGGGGAGGCATATGTGGCTATAGTGGCTGCGACACAGGCAAAACTCTGGTCTCCCAAAGTTTTGTCAGGAACGGATGTAAATAATCTGTCAAGATTAAACCCAAATATGCGTCACTCACCCTACAGAGATGGTCGACACTTCTGGTGGTAGTCGCATATGTCCTGAGTGGTCGAATTCATCGGCCACAATTCACAAAACTGCACTCCATACTTCAGCAGGGCCCCCCAACTTTCCTTCAGTTAGCCGTCGATGTATCAGAAGTTCATCGTACAAAAACTTTGAAATCTTATGGTTGTTTTCAAGTTAGTAGAAGTCGACCGAGAGATAGGTCCCCCAACTCATTAGACAAAGATTCACTAGACAAACGGTGCCTCACCTACTGTATGTAATTAAAGAAACATACACAGCTTATCGGCTTCTTCGGGATTCCTCGACTTCCCAGTTGTCCCAGAGGCCACTTTCTGCATTTGTAGAACATCCATTAGTAATGGGAAGCAGCGGTGGTGCTTCGATTACTGAGTGCACGCACGGATAACACATAGTAACAATCCATTTAGTACATTCTCGAAGGACTTTAAGAATGAAAAGGATACAGCCACCCAGTTCCCGACAAACATATGTAAAGCTACTTGTCAATTAAAACAAATCGCGAAAAAATAATGGTCCATTCGGGCGATTTTCGGTTTGAGCACACATACAACAAAGTGCAACATTTTGGCGTAAAAAAGCTTTGTTCCACTCGCAAATGTTTTTCAGATAAGTACATTGTGCAGCTATGGGTCACTATCAAGTACCAATGAAACCAACTTAACTACAAATATTCCGGTGCAAGTCCAAAGTCACCCTTGTCAGCAATATGGGTCACTATCAAGTACCAATGAAACCAACTTAACTACAAATATTCCGGTGCAAGTCCAAAGTCACCCCTTGTCAGCAATAACTCCCGTTTCAGTTCAAGTAGGCTAACTACTATTGGAAGGCTCCGGTCTTTCCCGTATCATTTTGCTGCTGTTTTGTTTTCCACAAGTTACAACTTCTTGTCACACAATAAACATACCTCCTTGGTTCTACCTTCCCCGTTGTGTACTCACCTACCATGCCCATGCTGTACCGATCTCACCCTGCCTTATATTGTATGCTCTCCAGAAGTTGGAAAAACTGTCATTATTAATACTGGAAGCGAAGCCGTCGATAAACAGGACTTGTCCACTAAACTTGCGACAAGGACTTAGGAGAAATCACGGCTACACGTAAATTAGGCACTGAGTATCTCTGTTAAAGCACGTTAAGGCATGAGCGATGTATATTTATGGTCCAACCCAAATGTCCCAGACGCAAAACCGTGGTCAACATTATATCTGTTAGTGAACCTACATAAGCCCCAGATAGCCCAGTCTATAAGGCGCTAAGTTACTGAACAGAAGATTGGGGGATCAAACACTGCCCCGGCGTGCTGACTCGCTCTGAGTTTATGAATCCCGGCTTTAGCTCAGCCTTCAGAAATCCTTTGGATGGCACGATAGCTGGTCATCAAATGGATGTTGCTGCCAAGTGTCTTAGTGTGTCCTAACGAATGTCTTTGGTTCATTCAGCGTCAGCGTTTGGCTGATATACTAAAACATGGAGGAAAGATGGAGTCCAAGGGAATAGCATCAACATGTCCAACGCAATAGATGACAATGTTGGGTCATCCTTGTAGATAAAGTAAGCTGACCCAGCAGGAAGGACCACCAAGGTCTCAGCCGCAGGCCAAACGAGACCAACTAAGAACCCGAACCCAGCTAACGCAAACGAGCCAAAACATTTTGGCCACAATTAATTTGATCGGCATCATACAAACAACGCCGTCAACTATAAAGCTTTCAGCTGATCAGCTTTCGGGGATTTCTCCCTTGGAGTTAACAAATCAGATATGGTGAAGTCCAAAACTGTGGAAGAGAAACAGTATCTAGCTACAGTGCATCCGAGTTCGAGGACACGGATGACAAAGGGCACTACCAGTATGCTACGTATTTCAGCCACTGAAGTCACCCCCTGTACGTTGTGTTACCTCATTACATGTACCTGGTGAGCCTAGCTTTAGAATCACGATGGACAGGGTAAATGTAGACTTCACCTGGCGAATACTACTGCATAAGTTAGCGAAAACGAGACTTTCCAGGAAGCTCTCAACTCGCACACTCACAAAATGCCACCTCGTCGACCAATGAATCAACTTTTAAAATCGATGGAAAAAGCACTCATTTAAAAATAAAAGTTAATTTTTATAAGCCTAAACTGAACATTGCTTGAAGCTCCTACGTATGGATCAGTTTGGGGTTCTTTTGAGCCACCCGGCAATCCACTCAGCTGCGTAAAATTTAGTGTCAAATGGGAATGTAAGTTTGATGAAGATTCGCGACTGTCTAACTGGGCCGAAAAGGTCGCGGGCTGCCCAGGGGCTTCCAGCAGCTTTGCGAGTAACTGGTCTCAGAAAGACATCTAAATCGCTTGCTTCATGGCTGCAGTTGCATGCTGCCTCTCTCTCACACACGCGCACAAAATGGCATGTTGCTGCACCTGTGTGGACTGATCATGACTCGTTGAATTCAAATTGGGTGCAACATATCTAGTCCGTTCCCAGTGTTTCAAAGGCCACTGTACATATCATCCACCGGTGCCGACCACAAATCTACTGAACAGACACGCACAGCCGTTCACTCCAATCACCGGGGTATCGACCTTGCCTAGGTTTCACAATTTCCACTTCGTTTTCCTGTTGTGTCTTGATAATCCAGTATTCTGACCAAAAACTCAACGTACGTTTTGCCCGGTTGCTCCCCATTGAGTTACACTGGTTCTCCGGATTCCCAGTTATAAACCCGTTTTTTGCACATGCAACATCTTCCTTCAGTTTTTAATCAAAATCAGTGGAGCAAGAAAGAATCGACTCGTAAGGCTAAATTCACGTCACCCATACTATGTTCCACAACGTGCATTACACACCGCCCAATCAATGCTAGCATAATAACCTCAAATCATTCATTCTCCTTCCATACTGGGGCTCGAGGACAGTGAAACAAGCAATCCGTCATCAGTTGACGCCAGGGGGTAGTGTTGTAAAAGCACGCTTGAAACCTGGCACTGTCGACCGAAAGTCGGTCCTCCAGGGGTGTCAAGACATATATCAAGACATGAAACAGGATAGGAGCAGGAGATTCGAGCCTAAAACACGACCAAATGTCCGACACCGGTTCAACGTCTACCGACCAATCATCTGTCTCCACACCGCTACTGTTTACGTCATTCATCCTACTGCTGTTTTGTTGTTTTACTGAAAGGTACTTGCGGCCGATTTAAACGAATTCTCACTTACGGCTGCTATGATTCAAATAATCCATGTTTATGCAAGTCGAATGAGCTTTAATCCGAGACGTTCAGCCACAGATACAAGTGCGTTTGCCTTCTCTGCCAATTGCTACGGTCCTTAGATTTTGCGCGCCGGCAAACACGAGAACCGTGGACGTAGAATCCTAATTCTCCGATTCAGTTGGATAAAGTACGCAACCCTTTAGACAGACAAAACAGTATTCTAGGATGGTTGTTCAAGTAAACCGATCCATATTTTTCACGCATTTTAGCCAGAAAAAGGTCGTAAGCTGACAGGCCAAACGGGGGATATGGCAGTTGTCGCAGGAGGACAGGTATGAAAAACATACCAATTTCTGTGGATGATTTCGTCCAAATTATAAAATTTCTGAAGTTTCTTGGTGCGTTCGACAAGCTAAGGAGGTGGAACCATACAACTCCAAAAGCGCTGTATACGATTCGTACTTGGTCAAGGTATGGGATTGAAAGTCTGAATGATCGACAGTTAGATGAAAAGGAACCAAGATTTGCATGGGCAATCAATCCCTCATTGTGCAACAAGACATGAAATGAGTTGGAAGAAGTCGTCCGAGTTAGTGCCTTTGACTCGAACCCCACTTATCCGGTACTGTAGTCCTGTGAAAACGCCTCACTTGATTCTACATTTATTGATAAGGTACTTGACTCCAGAAGAATACCGAGCCTCACAAGTCACCTGAATGACCCTCTTCGAAATTTGTGATGGGTGAGTCGTAGTGCTTCTCAAGGTCAAAAACGCAAACCATTGACTCTTGTGCAACCAAAAGAAATTAGAGGGAGGCATTTTCATTTCCCTCTTCTTCAGAATCCGGAGAAAATTGGAAATCGTGGATTTGCAGGCCGTCGAATGTTGGTAATGCTCACAACCAATTCATGTAGGACCTACAGGGTTTTCAATGAGACAAGGTTTAGTGAGGTAAAATGACTCCCCGAACCCGGATTGTCCCAAAACACGGGACGACATTGCAGACGCGTCGTCAACCAATTCTCATAATCTGTTTAATGGATTGTTCATGATACTACATTTGACAAACAATAAGGCGGTTCGTACATTTCAAGACATTAAAGATCGACTTCCGTTATACTGTGTGAATATTTTATGCCCGTCAAACTACAGTCCAAACCACGACAACTCGTGTGTCAATGAGTTTGAAAAGGTCATCGCGAGAATTGGTATGAGGCCCACCGTGATCGGGCCAGACCAACCGCTCCTCCCAAAAGCATCAGCACAAAATCAAACATAATCAACCTTAACTTTCGGTTCAGTGGGCAGAGGGAAATAACACAGACATTGGGTTGGATAGATAAGAAAAGTCACAAGGTTCCTATGTACAAAGCGAATGAGATCACTTCTTATTAAGTTTGTCTGAGAAATCTTCAATAATATCTTCAACATGTTCGTTATCCTTTAATTTCACCGGTCTCTGAACAATCCGCCGTTGACCGGGCTTCTTGCGTTGTGTTGGAATCTAGCGAAAGGCACAGACAAATAAACAGTACACGTGTGAGTACAGATCGCACGGAAGACCAGATCAGCACTGCTGATGCATCGTGTGGCATAAGGTGAAACCGAGCATTTCCTGGACATGAATCCCGATATCAGAATACACGAAAGCACCACATACGCGGAATTGTACTCACAAGCTCAGTGAAGGATTAGAGTATAGCCCAGAGTGATCACAGGAACGGAACAAAGGTGTCACAGCTACAAAAGCAATGTTACTGACACATTTTACGAGACTAACAGTAGAGAGATACCGAGAGGTGATGTAAAAATGTGATAAAATTGGTTTCACAAGGGAAAACGCGGAGTGAGTCGACACTTATGGTTCCTGTACGGCGGGCGAACTGGGGGACAAAGAGCTACCGGTGTCTCGGGGTTTAATGAATGAAAATGGGTCACCCAAAGCAATCTAGATTGACGAACAGTCATGGAAAACACAACCGGAAATGGAGTTCTCTCTGACATAAGAAGCGACACTCCATACATGAGCGAAGCGGGATAATTCAGGTCTGAAGGCGGTGAGGCCCGCAAGTGTTGGAACTCATATTGCTCACAAAACTGATGGGCCAAATTAATCCAAACGATTTAGAAACGATACTTTACTCCATGTGTTTGTATCATAAAGGGAAAGCCGTCTTCACCAGATGAGATCCGTACGATAATTTCAGGTTGATTTCGGTTTTGCCTGCAGATTTTCGTACTTATGAGGAGTGGTAATATACTATGGAAAAAAATTGAATAAGTGAAGCATTCAACAAGTATCAAATGTAGAAAATATTTCTACTATCCTATCAGATGGAGGTGGCTACACAGTTTCATGATGGAGATGTTCGCAAAACCAGATCATCACCATCATCACGACGAGAGCTGTTCAGGATTCAGAAAATGACTCTCGGACCTCAGGTGGATCCACTCTTGCTGTACACCAACGTTCACTAATAACAAAATGAAACTCTTGAAACTGAAGGGCGAATTCGAGCATTCGTGTAAAACTGGAGAATGCAGCTTGTCTTAGGTGGATTAAGATGTTATAGCCGTGAAAAAACGTCTAATGTAACATAAAGCAAGAAGTTGATAACCTTCGAAATGATACGAGTGAAAAATTTGAGAATTCCTCCAATTTTGAGCTCATCGGTTAGGGTTACCTGGCTTCTAAGTTCAAAATATCGTTCATCCACATATGAATGGAATTTCCTGGAAGGTAGCCCCAGGACGGATTGTCCGATAAATGGGAGATCGTTGTACCAATAGGTAGAATTTACGCCGTGTGTTTATTGACATGGAGCTGGCGTAAGAACCAAATGGCTTGATACTCCATTAATCGGAAGGGGCGAAGGGATTAGGAATAGGCATCGTACACGAAAAATGGTCATCAAACTCACGAACGTCTTCCTATCTCCTGACATTGATGATATTCCATTCCGTTTGAGATACTCTTCTATTTTACTTTCATGAATGCCTTCCACACTGACAGCGCGCCATTGCTGTTTGAAAACTGAAGAAAACCGTTAACAGGAGCGGGGAAAACGACAAATGATAATTTACTCAGAAAATGGTGATACGAGATGTAAGGATGCAGATAACAAATAAGAATATAAAAAACAAGGTTCATAGTTGCCGGTGATTGACCGTGTCCTAACCAGGTGCATAACCGGATTGAGTACAGTCGAACGTGTGAATTATATGTAATGCTGATAGTGATCCCACTGTTTTCCGTATAAGGAGGCCTAAAATTACACCATCAATTAGGAGGATATAAGGTGAGCTCCGAAAGGCTTGGTGTGTTAAATCAACCGAAACATTAGCCCCATTCCTTTCATGACATGATGGAACAAGAATAGGGGGTTGTTGAACGAGAGTGATGCGACTAGAGATGTGCTGATGTCGAATGATCCTTTTGAAGGTCGGCAATGGGGACTTCATTGTGCATGCCGTTCACGATTCTGGGGTCGGAACAGACTGTTTACCAGATGGCTTTATACCTGAACACCTCTTTCGCTGAATATATATTCCCCTGGCTTCATGACAATCGTTCACAAGAGAGGTACAGTCAGTTCTGATGTTCAATAATCTCCGTGCTGGGGTCTCTATGCCTAGCACACTGCATACAAGGTCATTCAACTGAGCGGTAGTCAACTCACGGTCGGTGTGGATTAGTCTACATGCATTTGCAACGGCTGCAGCGTGACAGACGAAGTGAATCAATAGTGCTATCCATAAAGTTGCGTGAAACCATGAGAAAACTCCGCTGAAATAAAATAATAATTATAATCGTTCAGCTGAAGCACCCTTTTGGTGCCTAGCTGCTATGCAAACGGAAGAAGGCACAAGGGCTGGGATACTGTCGGGTTGCTGAAGGCTAGACAGCAGCAGTCGAGATGCTGAGATTGGGTTCGAAACACTAACCTTCCGGTCCGTAAGCTGGCACCTTAACAACTGAGCTACCTTGAGCCGAACGCTGGTTAGTGGGTAGTTTATTGAGAGCAGTCCCGGCAGTCGTGGCTTGGTGCTAAGTATGCCTATTCAGCTTTTTCCACAACAGGATCCTTTTCAACACTAGCCCTAGCTGGCGAAAGGTCCACAGTGTGGCGAGGCAAGGCGAATTCCATCACACCAAATGTCGTTCAATCTTCGAGCATTATTCAGTTCGGTTTTTGTGATGTTCTTCGCATAACCGTGGAGACCGTGCAGGACGCGCCATTCAACACTTCCCAGCGAATTCCTCGCTTCCTGTCCAGACGTTCGACCAAAAAATTGTCTGACGTTGTGCACTGAGTTCGTGGTAGTCAAGGTTCATTAGAATGCGGTCCAACCTCGCTGGTGCTTACATTACGCCCAGAACTGTGTCTAGTTTGTCGCTGTTTATAAATTCAGGCTGCTGTCTGATTGCCTTAGTAGTATGGAGACTTCTGAAAACATCCCCTTTCCTCTTCGCTCCCTTGAGTTTTCTAGTTTACATGACTGTTAAGCAGGTGAGCGTCTGCACTCACCACCGGGACGTTGTAGTCAATGACAGCGTCATCCGAAGTAAAACAAAATTCTCATGTGTTTCGTTTTGCAGCGGTCTTTCAACCAAACTACACAAAGTAAAAGCGGAACCTCAAGAAACTTACACATTGACGGTACTCAAAATACTCCTTACTATACTTTGGGGGTTGAACATCGTTGTACGGGATACTTGGATAAATGGCCCGAATTCGCACACAGAACTTCGGAGAAACAGACCTCCATCAGATATGTGGGTCCCGATCAAGCAAGTTACGAAACCGAGTACCACGTGCAGATTATTCCAGGAACATCCACAACACCATGATAAGAATAAAGCCTAGGCCGATTAACTGAATGCGAAACAAGAATAGTTAAAAATAATCGTTGTGCTGTAGCGACCTTCCGGTGTCTAGCTGCTCTACCATATGAGGGCTGAGCTATTGCGAGGAATTCGAAATCCCAGAGTTGAATTCAAACCACGGATCTTCCAGTCAGTGAGTTAGCCCCTTCACCAACGACCTGCCCAAAGCTCAAAATCGTTCAGCTGTAACATTATTTCGGCACCTAACCGCCATATCAACCCAAGGAAACACGAGGCTGAGATACAATCCCAGAGTTGAATTCAAACCACGGATCTTCCAGTCAGTGAGTTAGCCCCTTCACCAACGACCTGCCCAAAGCTCAAAATCGTTCAGCTGTAACATTATTTCGGCACCTAACCGCCATATCAACCCAAGGAAACACGAGGGCTGAGATACTGCCAGGCTGCCCAGGCTTAGGTGCGAGAAATCGAGATGTCAAGGTTGTTGCACGGGCAAGGATAAAACGTCAAAAATAGAACGATCACACGACTGGAAACACTAACCAATTACAAAGCGACTCAACAAACGAGTGGTTAACATGGAAAAAGTCAAAAGTGGGACAACATACCTTCATCAATATTCAGGTCAAACGTTTTGTCGTTGTAGAAAAGGATAGTCTTCTTGTCGTGCGGTGTCACAATTCGAATAACGTGATCACCAAATCCCTGCTCAAGAAAAGAATAGTCAGTATAGAAAACTTCGGTCGAAGATACGGCACTTCAGAAGGTAGAAAATAGAAACCCATGGTAAAAACTCACATTGACGACTTTCTCGGCATCTGGGATGCATTCTGCAATGTCATCTAGGTAGACGCCTCCGAGTCCTTTCAATTCATGGCGTTTGAGAAGCTGGTACAAGTCCTGTCGTGTTCGAATGTCGTAACGTGGTCGGAATACAAATTTACGATCTGGTGTGACTCGGATTTTCGGATTATTTGGTAAGGCCTAATCACTTGTTTATAAGATACGTTTCAGACAACAGATACCTCATCTTCTAGCCATCGGATAGTAGACTGTGGGGTGTCATGAAGCATTGTCTCTTCAAGTATTTCTTCTACGCTGAGGGGGTGTGTATCCCGTTCCAAATGACGCTGCTAGAGAACACGAAAGATAAAGCAATTTAAAACTAATTACACTGGTACCTTCATATATTTGACAATTTTAGAGAGTACGGCAAATCTGCCCTGGAGCTGCGGTCGCAAATCCAGAGACCTCATGTCCGACGCAGATGAGCTGGCAGTACGACGCAAAGGGCTAGGGGAGGCTTCGACGGATTGTGGCGCCATCCGTGGTTTCTCAACAACCGGTAGAGCTCGTGCACGCTTAAGAAAGGCCTCTCGTTCTTTCAAAAGATTTGGGTCCATTTTGTCTAGGAGAGGAACAACAAGAAATAAGTCCCTGGGAATTAAAAATCAAAAACAAGTGGGAATGAAAGCTTATCCACTCCTGTTTCAGCAATCATAGGTTAGGTTGAGCGAATAATGCAGGGTGTAGACTGAGCCGGTGGTGTAATTACGTTTTGTTATTTATCGAAGCAGAATTACTCAAATTGACTAACATCGTCGGTATTAAAATGGCGCTAGATTCAAAACCAGCAGTGTTGTCCGCGTACTCGATATCTTTGAGCGAATGCCCTAGGGAGAATTAACCTCAAAGTCAGCCTTCTATGATCACAGCAATGACGGTGAACAGTGGAAGTGAAAAAGGACAACTTTGGATGACCCTTGAAGTAGTAAACCCAGGCAAGGGCATCCTCTAGGCGAGGCGTCCATGGGAGTTGGCGCACAGTGCTTTAAGGAGGGCCAATAATCTAAGGGGAACATCTTTGTTCCACAGATACCGTCAGAGCGTCTGAAAGTCCACAGAGTCAAAGACAGCTTTCAAGTCAAGGAAGATTACCAATGATGAATGCTGTTCCAGAACCAGTCGGAGTGTGAAAATGTGATCGATGCATCCTATTCCAGGACGGGACCCAGAATGGTTTCCACGGATAAGCCCACCCTGTGTTCAGTCAACCCTCAAAGGATGAGACAAGAGGAATGTTCAGTTAATTGAGAACTATGGGAGGCTGAAGTGTGAGCTGGATATAGAACAATTTGGTCGTACCGTGAATCTCCCAAGAGGTCATGCTAAAAAGAGATGCTATCCTAAATCTGAACTAAAGATAGCTCAGTGGTTAATACTTGCCGACCGGATGGTCTGTGGTTCGAACCCGACTCCTGTTTAAGCCTTGGCAAACTAGTAGTATCTCAGCTCGTGCTTCTTTCGGGTGGCACGGTAGTTAGGCACCGAAAGGGTGTTACAGCCGAACCCTTATTTACATTATTTAGGTGTTTGTGCAAGCCAAGTGACGCAACTATCGTTAAGAGAGAAGCCACTGTAGTCAAGTTCCGTGACTGAAGCATACTACCGATAACCATTCACCCGACTTCGTTCTCATAAATGATGCTATTTTATATTCCTTTTAAGTAAGAAGCAGCTGAGCTGCACAGCCCGCCAGTTGCATACCATTCGATTTATGAAGCCTGCAGAGTGCCTACGTCATATTGCTATTACCATACAGCATTGTTCGGTAGCTGTCAAGAACGCTTGACCCCGGAAGACCTGGAAAAGTTTAGGCCGATTGTGTTAATGGTTTATAGGGAAATTACTGCTGATTACCCGGTGATTGTACTGATCCAGCTGCGAACAGCAAAAATGGCGAATCCGTTTCTGTCGTTATTCCACAGAAGAATTAGTCGGATTTTAGTAAGCTCTCATTGACTGGAGGAAAGTAAGGACATAAGGTCTAACAGGCACAAAAATCAAAATACGAGATATTCATCTGCCTGAGTGAGCAGGCAGCGGTTCAACCACCGAGTTATATACAGATTCCATGGAGTCGTAGACGTGCCTCAGTTGAAGAATTTTGCACCCAGAGTCCCCGGACATACGGACGCGTATAAAACTTTTCCGGTGTGGTAGAGAAAAAAGTCTGACATAATACATTGTACTTTTGCACACCCAGCATTGGGATCCATACGACACCAAGAAATGCAGTATTTTGGTCAACGTTTAAGAAAAAGACATAAAGGATCACAGCACTAAAGAATGTTTGGAAATGCAAGTCACCCATGCAAACAGGTCAGTACTGCAGCGTCATGTATTGGAGAGACGCGAAGTTCACCGGAAATTCGCCCAGTACTCGCATGGTAGAATCCCAAACTCGTTGCGAATGCTTTCCAAACTGTGCGTCCCAGGACAGGTGCTTTTGTTGACAATCTGCTACGTACACTACGGGAAAATTTTGTCCGGCAACTTTGACATTCCTCCAGCTGACAATCCCATCATCTGTTGCACAGAAGCACGGGGTAGCGAGCAATTGCGCCTGAGAACAGGAATGAAAACATCAAAGGAAACAATAAGCCTGGGTTCCGGTAGCATACATATAAAACCCGTCTTTTCCGCAAAAAATCGGACGGCATATAATTAATGGTTTCAGAAGTCTACTTTAGGATTTTATCACCAGAGTTCTAGTGTTCACAGAAGCTCAACTACGTCGCCAAGTTGGTTATTGTACTGTTCCAGCGACATTGTGTAAGGTACATTTATAAAACGGAAAGGAAAAGAGACGGAGCCAGAAAGATATACACATTGGGATCATCGTTTGGTCGTTCAGCTGTAGCACCCTTTCGCTAATTAAAACTTAAACTGTTCATCTGTAACACCTTTCGGTGCCTAGCTTCCATGCCACCCGAGGGAAGCAGGGCTTGGATACTGCCAGGTTGCCCAAGCCTAGACAGGGGAAGTCGAAAGGCAGAGGTCGGGTTCGAACCACATACCTTCCGTTCAGTCAATTCGCGCTCCAATCACTTGAGCAACCTCACTCATCGTTTTCAAACATTGCATCTTAGAATCACTTACAGAGGACTGGGTGAACCAACTGAACATGATTCGAACGAAACGCAGCCACAGTAGGACCTGGTCGAGTAGTGCATACCGTACCGACTTCCACCAAGATCCAGCGCAGTGAACTGAAAGAATAGTTCCAGCATCACAAGCGAGAACTGTTGAAGGGAAGGCTCCGGTGGAACCGTTCACATAAGCTGTTCCAAGGCGCTTTTGGAATTCTGCGAGGAACATTAACTGTAACAAATGTATTCCAGAATAGTGATGTAATCGGTTGGATAATCCAGACGGTACATGACGGAAACCAAGTAGGTGGTCAATATGATCCGACAGCCATTCTTCGCTGATGCTTCTGTGGGGTCCACAAAACAGTTGTACATGAATAAGAAGACAAACAATCAACCAAGAAATCCCTCATTAAAACGAACGAATGTCCTTACAGTTCACCGGTAGCCTCATCGGCAAAAATTTCAACGTACACTTTCAATCTCGGATAGGACTTGCTACCAACTTTGGGGTGTAGTGATAGTATTGGCAAATATGAGCTGACGAGATATCATAACGGTCTGCTAATTAGAATGGCGTACCTTGGCAGATGGGGTTGAGTGACCATACGGAGACAGGGCAAACGGTCGACGATGGCGTTATAGCACAGGAGCTGTTACCAGGTGACCTGCCTAAAATGTACCCAATTGTCAGTCACATTTATGCACTTGCATTTCACACATCTGTCCAATTGTTCAAGTCAATTCAAATTGTCCTTTTGATCATAATAGGTGTACTTGTAATCCACACCCCTTGTTACCTTCTACCCAACCACCAAATGCTACGTTGCACATGTATAGATGCGAAATATTTGTAAAAGGATGAAATATCTGTACATTGTTCTAATTGACAGTGCTAAAGATGGGGTTTGGCGAATCCACTTCTTCTGTGGTTCGTTCACTGCCGCACCAACAGTCCGTCCAACAGACCAGATTTTCCTGGTTGGGACAACATTTTCATTTCCGTGCGCGGAGTGGACATCTCACAGTCTTTAAAATTTCGAGCATTTGTGAATGTACTTTGAAGACCAGACCGACTGCACCATAACCACAGGACAAGGGCCATCATAATTATTCTAGATATATTTGAAAGGAGGATGCATACAGGGTTATAGCTGAGATACGAATCACAGTAGAATTTCGAATCAGCAGCCCCAGTGTCTCCCAAATGAGAGCAGAACACATTCAATGAGGTGACAAACGGCTGATCCCACTGTTTTATACACGGAGATGCTACTATGTTACGGAGAAGTATTGCGCATGAGAAACAGGGGTTTCAGTAGAGACTAGCCTTAGTAACAGGACGAAGGCCCAAATGGAAGTTACCGAATCTTCTTAGACTACAACCATTCTGCAAGTGGATCAGAGGAAGAATAGTTTCACAAGATGAGTGAAACTCCCATATAAGAGTCGTCCCTGCCCAGTGTCTCCCAAATGAGAGCAGAACACATTCAATGAGGTGACAAACGGCTGATCCCACTGTTTTATACACGGAGATGCTACTATGTTACGGAGAAGTATTGCGCATGAGAAACAGGGGTTTCAGTAGAGACTAGCCTTAGTAACAGGACGAAGGCCCAAATGGAAGTTACCGAATCTTCTTAGACTACAACCATTCTGCAAGTGGATCAGAGGAAGAATAGTTTCACAAGATGAGTGAAACTCCCATATAAGAAGTCGTCCCTGGAGGAGCCAGTCAACACGTGTGATCACGTGATGTGGTTTCTGTGACTGAAGGATGAGCGGTACTACATAGTGTCTAAGTTAGAGCTAATTACACTGCTGTTCAGCCGCTGGTGACCAAACGGTCGACTGTTCAACTACCGGTCACGCTTTCGAAACCCTCTGGGTTTCGTGAGCCACTGATGATTCTCGATAAGGATGAAACAGCTGTGCATTGCTTCTCGGCCTTTAAGCATTGACTGGCCTCACTGATAGGAGGAAATGTTAACTGGAAATTTCTAACATTAGTCTGACCACACGGCGGTTGTCAGTAAGTAGAAGATATATCACGTGACACGGTAATTGCACGGATGGTAAAGTGATCCGTGAAAACACTACATGAAAAAAGCACTCAGCATAATATCTTTGTAATTTACTACTGAAAATCCGTCACTCAGCATAATGGCAACTTTCGTACGACAGGTTATGAAAGATACATGCATGTACGCAGTTAATACTGAGGAGCACCTGTTGAAGAAAATAACGAAAGAGCACCTATGGCATCAGACACAAGATACCATTCAACAGATGCAAGGGAATCGAGCTGATTTGAGATAGGTTTCAAATTTAGGGAGAATCAGACGGAACGGCCCAAAGGTAGACACTACATGACACCGATAAGCATGAGTGAACATAAATGCACCTACACGGTCAAGGTGAGAAAACTACGAATCAATGGAGAAGACTAGGACGTACTGATAGGACCGACCGGAAAGGAAGACAACTCTGAAGCGATCTACCGGTTTGCAAACAGTTTTGTTTGTTCGCTCAATAACAGTGACCATGGAATGAAGTAGCAACATTTGTGCCAAGTAATTTCGTTGTATGGTTACTTCGAAACCATCAGAAGTGAGACCGGAAGAGTCTCCGTGTGGATTGCATTCACAGGAATTTATTGGAAAGAATCGGCGAAAAACCTTATGCAGAGTTTGTTGGATTGAGGTGACAGGCTTCCTCCAAGCGAGCTTGTGCCACACCTTCAACAGCTTGGGTAAAATAAATGGTAGCCCTGTCCATGAGCTGTGAAGGAGGATTAGTAGGGCGATGTAAGTAGTCAAATACTTTATGGGAGAATGGTAAAGGCGAGCATAGAACTGTCAAGAACAAAACGTCTAATCCATTGAAAACACCCCCAAAACGACCTATATTATTTTGCTTGTCTCTAGGTTGGAGATTGTCAGGCATTATTTCGGCATGGAGTAACAGAATACCGGGGCTAGAAATGAGGCCTGACCAAGCAGATCGTTTCAAGTCATTTAAAAGGTGATCCACAAGTTGCCAATACCGATTCAGAAACAGCACGGCACAGTCGAGGTGGTTGCAATGCGGTGACAAGATCTAGCACGTGCAATCAGAAGTGATAGTTCTAAACTCCGAGTCTGTTTTAGTCATGTGACACGCTGCTAGACCTATTTACTCAGCAAATCATGAGTCAACTATTGTCCGGTTAGATTAGAGGTACAAATGGCCCCAATAATCAATCGTGGGGCGAGATGGCCCAAGTGGTTAGAGCGCGAATTTACTGACCGGAAGGTCCGTGGTTCGAATCTGACCTCAGCCACTCGACTTCCCCTGTCTAGGCTTGGGCAACCTGGCAGTATCCCAGCCCTCGTGCTTCCATCGGGTGGCATGGCAGCTAGGCACCGGACGCCATAATCAATCGTCTAATGAGTAGTTACTGTAATAGTTTATCAGCACGATTATTTTGGGTGCTATGTACGCATCGATCTTATGACGAGGTTCTGACAGCAGTAACGACCATTGTTGTTCCGGAATGATTCGGCAAACAATGACTGGAATGAGCGCTGGTTCATCAGGCCAAGTGAGTCAGTTGCCAGTTTGACGGAGTTACAAGGCGGAGGAAGAGTCGAGCAGCCAGGTTTCTTTAAACCGTTGGAAGGCTCTTAAAAATATGTCTGACCAAGTTTTAGAAATAACGGGTTAGAGGAAAACATTATTATCAGCCTAAATTCGGTTTAGGAACTCGAAATACCTCAGTGGTTAAGGCGCAAATTGACTGACAGGGTCCGTAGTTCGAAACCGATCCAGGCATCTGGACTGCTCCTATCTAGGCTTGGGCAACCTGGCAGTATCCCAGCCCTCATGTTTCTTTCGGGTGACATGATAGCTAGGCACCGAAAGGGTGCTACGCTGAACGGAATGGAACAAGGCCCAAAAAGTGGAGAACTGACAGTGAGTTTTCACCAATATTATGTGTAGTACTAGATGAAGGAATGCAATGGGATAAGGAAGCATAAGGTAGAGAATATGCAGCACATTTTCCTGACAGCTAGTTTAGACCAGAGATTCATTGGGGATTCGTTTGCATCCCCCGTTAAAACTATCTTACGTTGCGAATTGGTGCTTATGCCCACATAACTACAAATTTTTTGGTTCAAGTGCAGATACTTGCAGTTACTGAGAACGTTTCCCATTTATGATATTTCCAAATTCACAACTGATGAGTAGTAGGCTAGTGAAAATGGAAAGCTGGAAGGCAATTGGGTTGCCAAGAAGGTGAATAAAGACATTCACAGACGTTTTATGAAGAGTTACGGTCAAAATCCGGCCCCATTTCAGCTATTCAAATGTCAAACTGCGTTTCGAATTTCAGCTACGAGTAGGAAGATATATTTTACTGACAACACAGATATATTAAAAACTTGAATGCCACTATTACCGAGTAGAAAAATAAATTCCACTACTTTTGAGTCAAGCAGTTGGAATGATAAGCTTGTATGAGGGAAGGATCGTTGCTCCTCAATATCGCGAGTCGACGCTTGCTGGGAGTCAGGAAATTGCAATCTAACGGAGGACGTTAGCTGAGACAAAGGTTTAGAGGGTGATGTCTATCAAGAGAGCACAAAAAAACACGAGTCCGTGGATTTGGAGATAAGCACACTACATTGCTCACCTGGGAAGCTTGGGAGAAGGAAAGTGATCAGAAGCGAATATGCAGACATTGATGGGCCAACCGGTTTGTGAATAAATCTGTCAGAGTAATATAAAAGGTGGAAACTACTTGTTGGCCCCGCTGGATGACTTTTGCGCTCTAGCTGAGCTACGATTGTGGTAAATTGTTTGAAGTGTACAGAAACAAGGGCATGCGTCTGAACGGAGAGTACCCAATGCGCTATGTGATTGATCCAGTGACAAGAAGCTGGCTGGGGATTCCATTTTCCATTCCATTTTCTGAGTACAACAAACACACCTGAATAGTGTGAGTACCAAGTGTAAGGGTTTTCCTGTCAACAGAAAAGAATGCCACCCAAGTGTTCTTTTCAGATGTGTCACTTATTCAAGTGATTTTTAGCATTATCGAAACATCATATGGTCTGACAGTTCTATGGGCCTGGCAATTTTGTTGCAAGCGCTTCGTAACAACTAGTCTGTTGTACTAACGTGGACCGTCGTCGTGCCGGTCAGGAGGAATTCTCATAAGTTAGTGGTCACGTATAAAATAATTGGCAACTCGCATGCGTTTATTGGTTGATGATCAGATCGCTGTTGATTTGTTCGCCGAGCTTGGCAACGGACTTGCAAAGGTTTCATCATCGAACGGGAAGACATCGCCAGTGCGCAGTTTGGTGGGTACTTCCTCCTTACATATGTGCGCCTACACAGCGTCTGAAGAGCACCTGCTATCTCTTAACACAATTGCCTGATTGCGGACGGCGCTCTCGTGGGTTCAATGGTCCCCACGTGATCCTCCTTTTGATTAGAGAAGAGTAGACCACAACGCAATGCAAACTGGAGACGGATCGATCAAAAGAAGGAAACCAAACTAGAAATAAAGTATCAAATCAAAGGGGGTCAGTCAACACAACACAGATTACATACGGACAAATGTACTCACAGGATCACCGTCTTCCAATTAACCAGTAAGGTTAAAAGATAACAGATACTCTTCAAATGCTGTGTAAACGCACGAAAGTAACAAGTTGTTTGCCAGTTACATGCTAAGCGCGGCGAGTATGCCAACAACCACCTGATCAGCAACCAAAACAGTGGCCACTTTTGTAATAAAAAAACGCATATGCGTGGCCATGACCTAGTTGCTTCCGCCACACATCAGTGTGAAACACAAGGGGGGAAGTAAACAAAAAGAGCTAATTAACAATTCTGACGGTCCCTTGAAAGAAATTGGTCTAGGATAGACGTGCTTGTCGGTGAATCCATCGAGCACAATGATACACTCGACAAATTTGCTCTTGGTCGTTTTCACAGAGAGTCATTCTTAAGTATAACACTTCCTACGCGGTTAAGTGCAAATATTTCCCACTAGTATGTTACTGTCAATAGCTGTGATTACGAGCACTCATAGCCATTCTTCCGTTTGAAGGCGCCCACACTATTATTAACATGTGACATGTGAGTACAGTAAGCCTTCCGAACAACAATCATTTCTTCAAGTTCGTGCACAGTTTCAGCCAAAATCCACAGACAGTGGTAAAACAATAAGTCCTGTGTAAGCCATCAAGCTGGTGATGTAGCGTGCAGAGAAATACTCATTTGCAAATTGAGTTGGTGGCGGGCTCTCCAAGAGTTTCCATCAATCTTGGGAGGATTGACACGACTAGCGAAAGGTAAAAACTCACGATCACCGGGATTTTCAGCCTGTTTTGGGGATTCACCAAGTGATCAGTACTAAAACCGAAAGCTGGGAAGACGAGGAGAAATATGCGCAAGAAAATGCACGCAATATCCAATGATCCTCACCAGTCGTATCCAGTTCTCAGTAACGAACAAACTCAGACGACATCAGTTGGAGACTACTGATTTAGTGACTCAACCACTGACAAGTCCGTGACTGAAGTCAAAAATGCTGAACTACCAACGATTCCGTCTGAAACAATGCAATTGACAGCATCCTAGTCTGCGTATACCCTACAGATCACATAGCAGCTGTGCATGAAAAAGATGACACAGAAAGGAACGAATGTGAGGATTTATACAGAGTTGTGGCAGATGTGACGTAATCCACTTCTATCGAAACCAACCGCAGATCGACGACTTACCTGGCAAAACTGACTGACAGTGGAAAGATTATTCAGATCACAAGGAATCCAGAAAAGACCTCCAGAGTGAGGACTCATCAGACATGGATCAGGTGGAATCAAAGGACGCGCGTCGGGGGGGCACCGAGCACAAGCGCAGACTACAGCTGCCCCATGAGACGTCAGATTGGTGGCAATCATTCTGCCCATTCCACAGCCAGCCCCGGTGACCAAAATCACCCTTCCACGAAGATCCTTGTTACGAAGGACCTAAAAGGAGGATAAGCATGTGACTATCACATATACTATCGAAGACGGCGTCATTGATAGGCTGGGAATATCGGCACAGAACAGTGGAAATCAAATAATTTGTTGAAGTGGAGTAGTAGTGGTTGCGTCCCCAACTAGGCAGTCGCGTTGAGTTCGCGCAAAACCCCCAAAAGTCGAGTAGTTCAAATGGAGATTTATCGAAAAACTCCACACTATGAATACAAAAAAACGGTACATTTATGCCGGGTTTCATATAACGAGCTAATTACCGCTAATTTTGAGGGAATCCTGAACAAGTGAACTAGGTATAAAACCATATGGTCGAACGCCTTGATTAATGAAGTTATGTCTTCAAATCAGCGCCTGTATAAGAACGACCAAATACAAGCTCGGTTACTCTGGTCGTCCTCGAATCCTAGGAGCAACCGAGCATCGACATTCTACAGCTTTCCGAAGGTTCAGACCGGTCCTAGATTACATAACCACATCGAACCACAAACTCGCGAAATTTCCAGAATGAATTATTCAACCCTTCCAGAAGAATCATTCGATCTTCTTAACAAACTTAGGCAAGGCACCTCATTCACTCGAAAATGAGATTCTCCTTAGTTTCGAGGTACCCTTTTTGTAAACTGGTATAACTATCTCTTAAGGCCTTGAAATTTTACGCACTCTGTTAGAAGACGACGCAATTCTGGCCACTTGTCATAGCTTCTCACCACCGAAATAGTGTTGGGAATAGAGTCCTCTCGTTCGACTTAATCCACATTCAAACAGGCCTTGTACGAACAAACAAACGGGCTCCCCAATCGCACCGACCCAGAAAACTATTTGATGAATCTTCCACATATTTGGTGGCGTTCCGTTGATGAGATTTCTGTGAACTTGCTATATCTCTTGAACACACCTTGTGCTTGTGTGAACCTTACCAGTGATTTTGAAAGTGCAGACCGTTTCCTTAATTTTCTGGATTGTCTTGTTAGAGACAAAGTATCAGAGTTTGACGTGACTTTGTACCGGAAACAGACTCATTCTGGGCAAAATCCGGATTAATTTTCTTACCACGCATTGAACAAGAAACGAAGCGCTGTAGGCTAGATGATAAATATAGTTAAAACGATAAGTTCTGATAAAGGTTCCAGAGCCAGCAGGGTTAATAGCAGAGGGATATGTTGCAGCGGAACAACCATTCATTATGCTTCATTGAGAAGGCTCGCGGCTAGTCGCAAACAAGAGGGAAAGCATAGAACAGAACTACTCTAGTAACAGTTTGAATCCCCTATCACACACAAACTGATGGGTAAATTTGTAGAATTTTATCAGGATTTACCATTAGCAGACATCTGGTACACGCTAAACACTATCAATCCATGTGGTCAACTTGACTGCGTACACAAAATCTGTTACGCGAATTGGCATGCTACCTACGCAAGACAGATAAAAAGGCAACTAAAAATTGTGCACCACAAAACATAAGAGACATACACGCTCTCAATCCCCAAGTCTCTTGCGGTTCCAACGACTGGGGAAGGATGTCTTCATGGAAAACTAGTGTTTCATCTAACTAGTTCGCAAAGAACTGACATTGCACGCAAAACGGTACTGCGCGGAAGCATTGGCAATTCACACGACCTTCCTGCGCCAATCGAAATGACGGTCAGTCTGTATGCACTGTATGGTCAGCGCTTATAAATACCAGCAGTATTCAGCCTCAACCAACACATGTGATTGCCACACCTTGAATAACCGAAGGCCACTTGGAGATTGATCACACAGCAGGGGATACCGATCAACCTCCAAAGGTAACTCACAAACCTCCTCAATCACACGTCTGGCCAAACTGGGTACAATATTCAAGAACGTTCTGTGTGCGCAGTGTAAAGCCCTTAGGCTTGATTGGTTGTAGTGTCAACCAATCAAAACAGCGATTAGATACGTGGTCGCGGTAGGGTGTAGATCATGCAGATAGATACTAGCGGTTAATGCACAGAAGATTCGATCAGTAGGAATGAAATGAGCCCAGCGGGAAGCACAACACTGCTTAGGATGCACACAATGGCTTTGAAGATAGTTCCATCTGGAAAAGAAGTTAAACCAGTGATAAGGTGATCTTTCAAGTGTTGAAAGTAGAGTTTGTCTGGCACGACTACGTCCCCAGCCAAGTCCTTACAGACGGTCAGATAGTGTTCAAATCCTTTTGGGATGTGAAACACTTTGATATGAATGCCAATGCGCACATTCTGCGAAATACAGCTACTGCACAAAGAGAATTTTTCAACCTGGCGCACTTTCACTTGAAGTTACGTGCCGAAAGGCAAATGCGTCAGCTCGGCTTCATTGAAAACCAACAAACTTTGCTCAAAACTGACCAACCACGAAGCCCAGTAGTGTACAAGGTTACTTGACTACTGAAAAAAATCTTTGAACTTACGTCGTCAACAGTAGAAAACTGGTCAAACCTCGAAGTGGTGCGTGAACCTTCAGTAACCGTTGACAGTAGGCGAGGGTCAACATAACTCACTCGACCAGTAGTTTCGCTGTGAAGTGAACAGAGAAATGCGAAATCCTGGTAGAAAACAGACCACGTCCATTGAGGTAAAGCAACACAGCTTAGGCGACAGTGCAGTATAGCATCACAAACCCCAACAGTTTCTTATGGTCTTTACTCGCCTGATTGGGGACTGGCCCGATCAAAACTTGATGTGATGGATATATCGAACAATTAACGCTTGTAACGATGAAAGTTGGCAGACAAGTTGGTGGATTTGATGTGTAGTTCAGGAAACTAGAGTGAGAAATTAGTCAGTCATCATTGTTATATATAGACTCGATACAGCTTAGTGGTTGTGGCGCGAACTTACTGACCGGGACGAACCCAACTCGACGACTAAACGGCTCCTGTCTAGGCTTGAAAAGCCTAGCAGTATGTCATTTCTTTGCCATGCCACCAGCGGGCTGATTACTGCAAGGTTGCCCAAGCCTAGACAGGGGAAGTCGAGAAGTAAAAGATTTGAACCACAGAAGTTAAACCAGTGATAAGGTGATCTCTCAAGTGTTGAAAGTAGAGTTTGTCTGGCACGACTACGTCCCCAGCCAAGTCCTTACAGACGGTCAGATAGTGTTCAAATCCTTTTGGGATGTGAAACACTTTGATATGAATGCCAATGCGCACATTCTGCGAAATACAGCTACTGCACAAAGAGAATTTTTCAACCTGGCGCACTTTCACTTGAAGTTACGTGCCGAAAGGCAAATGCGTCAGCTCGGCTTCATTGAAAACCAACAAACTTTGCTCAAAACTGACCAACCACGAAGCCCAGTAGTGTACAAGGTTACTTGACTACTGAAAAAAATCTTTGAACTTACGTCGTCAACAGTAGAAAACTGGTCAAACCTCGAAGTGGTGCGTGAACCTTCAGTAACCGTTGACAGTAGGCGAGGGTCAACATAACTCACTCGACCAGTAGTTTCGCTGTGAAGTGAACAGAGAAATGCGAAATCCTGGTAGAAAACAGACCACGTCCATTGAGGTAAAGCAACACAGCTTAGGCGACAGTGCAGTATAGCATCACAAACCCCAACAGTTTCTTATGGTCTTTACTCGCCTGATTGGGGACTGGCCCGATCAAAACTTGATGTGATGGATATATCGAACAATTAACGCTTGTAACGATGAAAGTTGGCAGACAAGTTGGTGGATTTGATGTGTAGTTCAGGAAACTAGAGTGAGAAATTAGTCAGTCATCATTGTTATATATAGACTCGATACAGCTTAGTGGTTGTGGCGCGAACTTACTGACCGGGACGAACCCAACTCGACGACTAAACGGCTCCTGTCTAGGCTTGAAAAGCCTAGCAGTATGTCATTTCTTTGCCATGCCACCAGCGGGCTGATTACTGCAAGGTTGCCCAAGCCTAGACAGGGGAAGTCGAGAAGTAAAAGTCAGATTTGAACCACGGACCTTTCGTTCAGTAAGTTCGCACTCTAACCACTGAGCCATCTCGCCCGTTAGCACTTAAGTGACTGGTTTGTACTGATCTGACGGCACGATATGATGCAGGCTTGTGATGCTAACGCGCCACAGTATACCTCCAGCACTGCGGTTTTCTTTATCTCGAACGTTCATTCCGGTCCAAGAGGAAAATTCAGTGACAACCAGCCAAAAACTGAGAAAAATAATAATAATAATAATAATAATAATAATAATAATAATAATAATAATAATAATAATAATAATAATAATAATAATAATAATAATAATAATAATAATAATAATAATAATAATAATAATAATAATAATAATAATAATAATAATAATAATAATAATAATAATAATAATAATAATAATAATAATAATAATAATAATAATAATAATAATAATAATAATAATAATAATAATAATAATAATAATAATAATAATAATAATAATAATAATAATAATAATAATAATAATAATAATAATAATAATAATAATAATAATAATAATAATAATAATAATAATAATAATAATAATAATAATAATAATAATAATAATAATAATAATAATAATAATAATAATAATAATAATAATAATAATAATAATAATAATAATAATAATAATAATAATAATAATAATAATAATAATAATAATAATAATAATAATAATAATAATAATAATAATAATAATAATAATAATAATAATAATCGCTCAGCTGTAACACCCATTCGGTGCCCAGCCGCCATACCACTCGAGGGCTGAGATAGTTTCAGCCTAGATGGGAGCAGCCGAAATGTAGAGGTTTAGATCGAACCAGAGACCTTATAGTCAGTAAGTCCGGGCCTTAAAAACTTAGCCATCTAGGGCTGGGGTAAACTAAGAAATCGTAGGCGGGTCATGTTCGGAAACTCTTCCCAAAAAGAAAAATGATTCAGGCTCTTGGAGGTATCTCCAGGGAAAAGTGGTAATTGTATTGAATTTCAGGGGAGAAACTTCTTGAACAGAAGCTTTATGGATTCACTCCACCCCAAACATTTCATCTACACGTGTCCCATTCATTGTGATCCATGTTGATCGCATCGTAGCTAAGCTGGAGGGGGAAGATGCTGCTCGGAATTTTCATTTCTTTAGCGCGAATCTCAGTACTCCAGCGACAGGGAAATCAGTAATGTGTATCTCAACGAGGGGACTTCTAAACACTGGCTACTGAGAATATCCTTTAAAACGACAAACTAAAGTAAGTAAATAAATACCGAAGGAATGAATAAATCGATAGCAAGCAACCAATGGTCAACCATGAGTATGGATAGCATAGGGACTGAAATTCTTCTGAGTACGCTGAATATGCTAACGCTGCTTCAGAGCAGACGGTTTGGCAGCACCGATTAGCAGGTACGGATATTAGCTCAGAAGTTGTCAATTTGGGAGCTAGTAATTGGATTACGAAGATGGGGTCAGTGATTCCACGCGATGTTTTTGAGGACAAAGGGGAAACTGACGCAGCCTAATGGCGGCCGCCTGAGTGCGTTTTGAAGGATGGCCATGGAAAAATTGAGCCGGACTAGCTTGGTGACCAGCATCGTATAAGGGAACAGCGGTCAAGCTTGTTAGGCGCTTGACTTTGTGGGACCCACAAAGTCGTAAAATGAAGAGACTTTGAAATTTTCAGTTTTCGTCCTGTCAGTGAGGCCTATCAATGTTGAAAAACCGACAAGCACTGTGAAGCTGTTTCGCCCTAACTGGAAATTACCAGAATCATACGAAAACCAGAGTTTCGAAGCCATGACCTT